TCTTGGCATGTTTCTCCTTGGATTTATCCTGTATGGGACTCTCTGTGCTTCCTGGACTTGATTAACTACTTCCTTTCCCATATTAAGGAAGTTTTCAACTATAATCTCTTCAAATACTTTCTCAGTCCCTTTCTTTTTCCCTTCTTCTTCTGGGACCCCTATAATTCGAATGTTGGTGTGTTCAATGTTGTCCCAGAGGTCTCTGAGACTGTCCTCAGTTCTTTTTTCTTTATTCTGCTCTGCAGTAGTTTTTTCCACTGTCTTTTCTTCCAGGTCACTTATCCGTTCTTCTGCCTCAGTTATTCTGCTATTGATCCCTTCTAGAGAATTTTTATTTTCATTTATTGTGTTGTTCATCACTGTTTGTTTGCTCTTATTTCTTCTAGATCCTTGTTAAATGTTTCTTGTATTTTCTCCATTCTATTTCCAAGATTTTGGATCATCCTTACTATCATTATTTTGAATTTTTTTTCAGGTAGACTGCCTATTTCCTCTTCATTTGTTAGGTCTGGTGTGTTTTTACCTTGCTCCTTCATCTTCTGTGTGTTTTCTGTCTTCTCATTTTGCTTATCTTACTGTGTTTGGAGTCTCCTTTTTGCAGGCTGCAGGTTCATAGTTCCCGTTGTTTTGGTGTCTGTCCCCAGAGGCTAAGGTTCGTTCAGTGGGTTGTGTAGGCTTCCTGGTGGAGGGGACTAGTGCCTGTGTTCTGGTGGATGAGGCTGGATCTTGTCTTTCTAGTGGGAAGGTCCACATCTGGTGGTGTGTTTTGGGGTGTCTTTGGACTTATTATGATTTTAGGCAGCCTCTCTGCTAATGGGTGGGGTTGTGTTCCTGTCTTGCTAGTTGTTTGGCATAGGATGTCCAGCACTGTAGCTTGCTGGTCGTTGAGTGAAGCTGGGTGCTGGTGTTGAGATGGAGATCTCTGGGAGATTTTTGCTGTTTGATATTATGTGGAGCTGGGAGGTCTCTTGTGCACCAGTGTCCTGAAGTTGGCTCTCCCACCTCAGAGGCACAGCACTGACTCCTGACTGCAGCACCAAGAGCCTTTCATCCACATGGCTCAGAATAAAAGGGAGAAAAAAATAGAAAGAAAGAATTAGTAGAAGTCGTAAGAAAGAAAGAAAGGAGGAAGAGAGGGAAGGAGGGAGGGAGGGAGGAAGGAAGGAAGGAAGAAAAAAGTAAGAAAGAAGATAAAGTAAAATAAAGTAAGATAAAATATAATAAAATTATTAAAATTAAAAAAAATTATTAAGAAAAAAAACCACAAAAAATGGACGGATAGAACCCTAGGAGAAATGGTGGAAGCAAAGCTGTACAGACATAATCTCACACAGAAGCATACACATACACACTCACAAAAAGAGGAAAAGGGGAAAAAAATCATAAATGTTGCTCTCAAAGTCCACCTCCTCAATTTGGGATGATTCGTTGTCTAAAGGAGGGAAGGAAGGAAGGAAGGAAGGAAGGAAAGAAAGAAAGAAAGAAAGAAAGAAAGAAAGAAGATAAAGTAAAATGAAGTTATTAAAATAAAAAATAATTATTAAGGAAAAAAAATTTAAAAAAAAAAAAAGGAAGGAAGGATAGAACCCTAGGACAAATGGTGGACACAAAGGTATACAGACAAAATCCCACACAGAAGCATACACATACACACTCACAAAAAGAGGATAAGAGGAAAAAGTCATAAATCTTGCTCTCAAAGTCCACCCCCTCAATTTGGGATGATTCGTTGTCTATTCATGTATTCCACAGATGCAGGGTACTTCAAGTTGATTGTGGAGCTTTAATCTGCGGCTTCTGAGGCTGCTGGGAGAGATTTCCCTTTCTCTTCTTTGTTCTCACAGCTCCCAGGGGCTCAGCTTTGGCTTTGGCCCTGCCTCTGCATGTAGGTCGCCGGAAGGCGTCTGTTCTTCGCTCAGACAGGACGGGGTTAAAGGAGCCGCTGATTCGGGGGCTCTGGCTCACTCAGGCCGCGGGGAGGGAGGGGCACGGAGTGCGTGGTGAGCCTGCGGCGGCAGAGGTCAGCGTGACGTTGCAGCAGCCTGAGGCGCGCCGTGCGTTCTCCCGGGGGAGTTGTACCTGGATCCCGGGATCCTGGCCGTGGCAGGCTGCACAGGCTCCCCAGAAAGGGGGTGTGGATAGTAACCTGTGCTCGCACACTGGCTTCTCGTGCCCGTCTCTGGGGTCCGCGCTGTTAGCCGCTGCTCGTGCCGGTCTCTGGAGCTCCTTTAAGCAGCGCTCTTAATCCCCTCTCCTCGCGCACCAGGAAACAAAGAGGGAAGAAAAACTCTCTTGCCTCTTCGGCAGCTCCAGACCTTTTCCCAGACTCCCTCCCAGCTAGCCATGGTGCACTAACCCACTGCAGGCTGTGTTCACGCCGCCAACCCCAGTCCTCTCCCTGCGCTCCGACCCAATCCCGAGCCTCAGCTCCCACCCCCGCTCGCCCTGGCGGGTGAGGAGACAAGCCTCTCGGGCTGGTGAGTGCTGGCCGGCCCTGATCCTCTGTGCGGGAATCTCTCTGCTTTGCCCTCCGCACCCCTGTTGCTGTGCTCTCTGCCGCGGCTCCGAAGCTTTCCCCCTGCGCCACCCACAGTCTCTGCCCGAGAAGGGGCTTCCTAGCGTGTGGAAACCTTTCCTCCTTCACAGCTTTCTCCCACTGGTGCAGGTCCCGTCCCTATCCTTTTGTCTCTGCTCATTCTTGCCTTTTGGGAGGTCTGAGGTCTTCTGCCAGTGTTCAGTAGGTGTTCTGTAGGAGCTGTTCCATGTGTAGATGTATTTCTGGTGTATCTGTGGGGAGGAGGATGATCTCCGCGTCTTACTCTTCCGCCATCTTGTTATTCTTTTTTTTATCCTTGTGGCTTTAATTTTTCAAGAACCTTGGAGTGAAAGAGGACCACCTTTCTGATTCTTCATTTTAAAGAGCACTTCTAATATTTTCCTATTAGGATGGTATATATTTCAGATTTTAAAAATATATCCTTTATCAAGTTAAGTTTCCTTCTACTCCTAGTTTGCTAATTCTTTTTTTTAATTATGGATTAATGGAGTGGTTTTCCTTTCATATTTATAGTATATCTCTTTTAGTGTGTTGATGTGGTAATATTTATGTATTTTCTAATTTTTCTGACCATATTCATTTTTTTAAATCTTTAAATTTATTTTCCCTCAATACTGTATTTTTTATACAATTTTAAAAGTTACTTTCATTTACAGTCGTTACAAAATATTGACTCTATTCCCGTGTTGTGTAACACATCCTTGAGCCTGTCTTACACCCAATAGCTTGTGCCTCCCACTCCCCCATCCATATATTGCCCCCCCACCACTGGTAACCACTAGTTTATTCTGTGAGTCTGCATCTTTTTTTGTTATATTCACTAGTTTGTTGTATTTTTTAGATTCCACATACAAGTGATATCATACAGTACTTATCTTTCTCTGTCTGACTTATTTCACTTATCATAATGCCCTCCAAGTCCATCCATGTTGCTACAAATGGCAAAATTTCATTCTTTCTTATGGCTGAGTAGTATTCCATTGTACATATACACCACATCTTCCTTATCCATTCATCTGTTGATGGACACTTAGGTCGCTTCCATGTCTTGGCAATTGTAAATAATTCTGCCATGAACATTGGGGTGTATCTTTTTGAATTAGTGTTTTTTTGGGGTTTTTGTTTTTGTTTTTGCTTTTTGGATATATATCCAGGACTGGAATTGCTGAGTCATATGGTAGCTCTATTTATAGTGTTTTAAGAATCCTCCATACTCTTTTCCATAGTGGCTGAACCAATTTACCTTCCTACTAACAGTGTACAAGGGTTCCCTTTTCTCCACAATCTCACCAATATTTGTTATTTGTGTTCTCTTTGATGATAGCTGTTCTAAACAAGTGTGAGGTGATATATCATTGTAGTTTTGATTTGCATTTCCTTGATGATTAGCAATGTTGAACATCCTTTCATATGCCTGGTGGCCATCTGCATTTCTTCTTTGGAAAAATGTATTTTCTAATTTTAAAACATCCTTGCAGGGCTTCCCAGGTGGCGCAGTAGTTGAGAGTCCACCTGCCGATGCAGGGGACACGGGTTCGTGCCCCGGTCCGGGAAGATCCCACATGCCGCAGAGCGGCTGGGCCCGTGAGCCATGGCCGCTGAGCCTGCACGTCCGGAGTCTGTGCTCCGCAACAGGAGAGGTCACAACAGTGAGAGGCCCGCGTACCGCAAAAAACAAAACAAACAAACAAAAAAACATCCTTGCATACCTGAGATAAACCCAACTTGATAATAGTGTATTATCTTTTTTATACACTAAAGGAGTTGAGTTGCTAATGTTTTATTTAGGATTTTTTTGTATTTATATTCATGAGTAAAATGGACCTTTAATTTCCCTTTCTCATACAGTCCTTAACTGGTTTGCCTATCAAGATTTTACTGGCTCCATATAAATGAAAAGGCTAATATTCATCTTTTTCTAGTCTCTGAAATAATTTGTAAAAGATTCAGATGATCTGTTCCTTAAAAGTTTGGTGGAACTTGCCAATAAATCCATCTTGTCCTGGGGTTTTCTTCCTGTGAATATTTTAAACTAATGCTTCAATTTTTTAAAGAGTCTTTGCCTTACGTATAGTTATGTCTTCTTTTATACAGTTACCAACTTATGTCTTCTCTCTCTCTTTTTTTTTTTGATCAGTCTATTGTGAGGTTGGTGTTTTCAAAACTTAATTTTCTTTATCTTTTTTTAATCGAAGTATAGTTCATTTACAATGTTGTGTTTTTTTCAGGTGTACAGCAAAGTGATTCAGATATGTATATATTTCTTTTTCAGATTCTTTCCCATTATAGGTTATTTCAAGATATTGAGTAGAGTTCCCTGTGCTATACAGTTGGTGCTTGTTGTTTATTTTATATATAGTAGTGTGTTTATGTTAATCCCAAACTCCTAATTTATCCCTCCCTCTTTATCTTTGTTTTTTGTTTGTTTGTTTTCTCATTCAAAACCACTCAGACAGCATTCTCTCCCTCTTACTCTCCCAAAGGAAGAGAAGAAGGATTATCACTGGCTAATGGCAGTTGCAGAAGCAACACCTAGAGCTGGCTTCATGCTCAGGAGAGAATGCTGTACCTCTTCCTTGTGGTTTTGGATGCTCTACACATTCAGAGAAACTTGTCTAATAACGAAATATACAAATGATCCCCCAAATATTTTACCTTTGTTTTTTAATTTGCTGATTTCTGCTCAAAGTTTTAGTACTTCAGTATCCCTAAAGTACTTTTAGATTTATTCTGTAATTTTTCTAATTTTTAAGTTGGGCACTTCGTTCCTAGTGGATTTGCCTTGTTGGAATTTTAGTTCTCTTAAGTTTATGTCATGGGCTCTGGGAGGATTCCAGCAGTTTCAGACATGGAAAGGATCAATAGTCAAGACAGGCTCCTGCTGTGGCTGGTGTGGGCCCCTCCCACAAAGGACCAGCAGGGACTCTATCTGGGGGTTGTTTCAAAATGTGAGTTCAGTATTTCAGTGTGCTCTTGGCTTAATTATTTTTTTTTTTTTTCTTCTTGTACTATTTGTTAGATCACAGAACTGTTAACTGTGTGGAGCTGCTAGAATTTAGAGAGAATGTAGTCCTTGTGCTTCAGATGAGAATCATACAGAAGTGAAGTGGTGTTACCTAAAGTCACACAACAGTTTAGGAACCACGTGAAGGCCAGGTCATGAGACTGTATAGCCTGTGCTCTTCCTGCTGAGCCAAGCACCCCTCAGCACAGAAGAGTGTGCATTTTACAGTGTCAAGGTCACCTGCATGACCTTGTTCAAATATGATCCCCATACAGCCTCTTTTTGTGGTTCCAGAAAATGCATTTGGGGGAAAGTGTGACATGAACAGTAAAATTATGAAACTGGCTTGGCTGGCGAGTGCTTGCTCATGTGTTTTGTTTTGCTCACCATCATTGATCCAATCTTTATTTGTTACCATTGTGTGCCAAGGATTTATCCTGCAGCATTTCAATATGAAATGAAGTCTCACTTTGAACATTTTTCTTTTTACCTTTTGACTTCCGAGAAGGGAGGAAGGGAAACAGTAAAGAGATGAGGGGTTTACTAAGCAAACAACCATTTATCTTGAACTTTGTGGCACAGATCCCGTGTTGCTTCTTACAATACAAAAGCTGACAATACATGTTTCTGAAGCAAGGTAAAATCGGTGCTTAGAAATGATGTTTCCTGCATGCTCATTTTAAAGGAAAGAAATAGCGTTTATCTTAATTCTGCTGAGGTCTTTTCTGTATCCCTTCTGGGCTTTTAATATTTTTTCAAAGACATGTCCTAGATTATGAATTGGCTCATGGGGCAGAGGTCTCCCCGAAGCCCCTGGTTGTTAATAGCCTTAAGAGAGGTGTTGCACAAGTTCTAAACATTCTGGGTTTGAAGCCAAGTATTGGGTGGCTGTATTGCTTTTGCAGCTGTAGCTTAAATTAGAAACATTCTTCCTTCTTGACAGAAAGTTTACAGAGATCCAGATATTTTTCACTTTCTTTTTTTTTTTTTTTTTTTTTTTTGCGGTACGCGGGCCTCTCACTGTTGTGACCTCTCCCGTTGTGGAGCGCAGGCTCACCGGCCATGGCTCACGGGCCCAGCCGCTCCGCAGCATGTGGTATCTTCCCGGACCGGGGCACGAACCCGTGTCCCCTGCGTCGGCAGGCGGACTCTCAACCACTGCGCCACCAGGGAAGCCCTCACTTTCTTTTTTTAATTGAATTATTATTAACATACAATATTATGTTAGCTTCAGGTGTACAACATAGTGATTTGATGTTTTTATACATTATGAAATGATCATCACTGTACCAAAGTTGTTACACTATTATTGACTATATACCCTATGTGTGTGTACATTACACCCCTGGAAGTTTGTACCACTTAATCTACTTCACCTGTGTCATCCATTCCCCATCCCCCAGGCCTCCTCTGGCGATAACCAGTTTGCTCTCTGTACCTAAGAGTCTGTTTCAATTTTGTTTTGTTTGTTCATTTGTTTTGTTCTTTAGATTCCACATATAAGTGAAATCAGACAGTATTTGTTTTTCTCTGTCTTATTCCATCCATAGAAGAATGGATAAACAAGATGTATATACACAATGAAATATTACTAAGCCATAAAAAAATAATGAAATCTTGACATTTGCAACAACATGGATGGACCTTGAGGGTATTATGCTAAGAGATTCAAATATTTTTAAAGGCTTTTTATAGCGTATAACTTCTGGGAAAAGTGTATTAGCCTCAGCTTGCTTGAATCAGAATGAATGGAGTACTAAAAATTCTGATTAAACAGATCTGTACCATTGAGAGTGAGAGTGTTTCTATAAAAAGAAGCAATCAATCTGACTGTTGCTATATTAAGCTGGGGTGTGCCATGAATTTAAGTTTTATGTTGTTACTTTATATATCTCCTTCATTCTCCCCTAATGTCTCTGAGTATTTACAATTTTTATTTCAAATATTTAGATATTTTAAAATTTTTGGTATGTAAATCCATAGGCAATCCATCCATGTTTTGATGTGGTAAAAATGAACTAAAGCCTCCCCAGCATTAACTAAGAGATTTAGTGCCCCCTCTCTCCATACTAGTCCTTTGTGTGGTTTGGCACACACACAAAACAAGGCACATAAGCACTTCAAGAGCCCCTTCCACTGGGCTTCCACATTGTATAGCCATACAGCACACCAGATTTTGCATTCCATTTAAAGGCTTCAAGAAAATTGTTTTACAAAGTTAGCAGAAGGAAAGAAATTATAAAGATCAGATCAGAAATAAGTAAATGAAAAAGAAATGAAGGAAATAATAGCAAAGACCAATAAAACTAAAATCTTGTTCTTTGAGAAGATAAACAAAATTGATAAACCATTAGCCAGACTCATCCAGAATAAAAGGGAGAACACTCAAATCAATAGAATTAGAAATGAAAAAGAAGTAACAGCTGAAACTGCATATTACTATATGCCAATAAAATGGACAACCTGGAAAAAATGGACAAATTCTTAGAAAAGCATAGCCTTCTAAGACTGAACCCGGAAGAAACCGAAAATATAAACAGACCAATCACAAGCACTGAAATTGAAACTGTGATTAAAAATCTTCCAACAAACAAAAGCCCAGGATCAGACGGCTTCACAGGTGAAGACTATCAAACATTTAGAGAAAAGTTAACACCTATCCTTCTCAAACTCTTCCAAAATATAGCAGAGGGAGGAACACTCCCAAACTCATTCTATGAGGCCACCATCACCCTAATACCAAAACCAGACAAAGATGCCACAAAAAAAGGAAACTACAGGCTGATATCACTGCTGAACATAGATGCAAAAATCCTCAACAAAATACTAGGAAACAGAATCCAACAGCACATTAAAAGATTCATACAAAATGATCAAGTGGGATTTATCCCAGGAATGCAAGGATTCTTCAATATATGCAAATAAATCAATGTGATATACCATATTAAACTGAAGGAGAAAAACCATATGGTCATCTCAATAGATGCAGAAAAAGCTTTTAACAAAATTCAATGCCCATTTATGATAAAAACCCTCCAGAAAGTAGGCATAGTGGGAACTTACCTCAACATAATAAAGACCATATATGACAGATCCACAGCCAACATCGTTCTCAGTGGTGAGAAACTGAAACCATTTCCATTAAGATCAGGAACAAGACAAGGTTTCCCACTCTTACCACTGTTACTCAACATATTTTTGGAAGTTTTAGCCACAGAAATCAGAGAAGAAATAAAAGGAATCCAAATTTGAATAGAAGAAGTAAACCTGTCACTGTTTGCAGCTGACATGATACTATACATAGAGAATCCTAAAGATGCTACCAGAAAACTACTAGAGCTAATCAATGAATTTGGTAAAGTAGCAGGATACAAAATTAATGCACAGAAATCTCTTGCATGCCTATACACTAATGATGAAAAACCTGAAAGAGAAACTAAGGAAACACTTCCATTTACCATTACAACAAAAAGAATAAAAGGCCTAGGAATAAACCTACCTAAGGAGTCAAAAGACCTTTATGCAGAAAACTATAAGACACTGATGAAAGAAATTAAAGATGATACAAACAGATGGAAAGATATACCATGTTCTTGGATTATCAACATTGTGAAAATGACTCTACTACCCAAAGCAATCTACAGATTCAATGCAATCCCTATCAAACTACCAATGGCATTTTTCACAGAACTGGAGTAAAACATTTCACAATTTGTATGGAAACACAAGGGACCCTGAATAGCCAAAGCAATCCTGAGAAAGAAAAACGGAGCTGGAGGAATCAAGCTCCTGCACTTCAGACTATACTACAAAGCTACAGTAATCAAGACAGTATGTTACTGGCACAAAAACAGAAAAATAGATCAATGGAACAGGATAGAAAGCCCAGAGATAAACCCACGCACATATGGTCACCTTATCTTTGATAAAGGAGGCAGGAATGTACAGTGGAGAAAAGACAACCTCTTCAATAAGTGGTGCTGGGAAAACTGGACAGCTACATGTAAAAGAATGAAATTAGAACACTCCCTAACACCATACACAAAAATAAACTCAAAATGGATTAAAGACCTAAATGTAAGGCCAGACACTGTCAAACTCTTAGAGGAAAACATAGGCAGAACACTCCATCACATAAATCACAGAAAGATCCTTTTTGACCCACCTCCTAGAGAAATGGAAATAAAAACAAAAATAAACAAATGGGACCTAATGAAACTTAAAACGTTTTGCACAGCAAAGGAGACCATAAACATAAACAAGACAAAATCCTCAAAATGGGAGAAAATATTAGCAAATGAAGCAACTAACAAAGGATTAATCTCCAAAATTTACAAGCAGTTCCATGTAGCTCAATATCAAAAACACAAGCAACCAAATCCAAAAATGGTCAGAAGACCTAAATAGACATTTCTCCAAAGAAGATATACAGATTGCCAACAAACACATGAAAGGATGCTGAACATCACTGATCTTTAGAGAAATGCAAAGCTCAACTACAATGAGGTATCACTTCACACTGGTCAAAATGGCCATCATCCAAAAATCTACAAATAATAAATGCTGGAGAGGGTGTGGAGAAAAGGGAATCCTCTTGCACTGTTGGTGGGCATGAAAATAGATACAGCCAGTATGGAGAACACTATGGAGATGTC